TTAATCTTGCCTTTTTTTCCTGTAAGTGCAAGAAATGTGATCTGATCTCTGTTTTCAAAATCTACAATATCTTAAAAAAATCTTACTGCACTTGTAGACTTATTGCCAGTTTTGGTTTTCCCAGAGAGTAAGCCCCTCCTTGCTCTTAAGAAATTATTATTTTTTTTTACATTTTTCCTTATCATTGTCAAGTTGTCAAAGAAATTCTTGATTACAAGGCTGCAAAAAGAATTAGAGGGACAGAGAAACTGCTGAATGACAGTCTATGGGACTCAGCCTGTTTATAGTGTTAATTTTTAGCACTTCTGCTTTCTTTTCCATCAGCTGGTAATAGGTGAGGGTACAGAGATGCTCACAGGCAGGCATAGGGGTAGTGTAAGTTAATGAGCTTGGTCTGTGAGGTGCAGCTGAAGTTCTTTGGTGAAAAAATTTGTTTGTACCTGGGGGAGTGATTCCACCCTCTCCCTCTAGATGGCAGCAGAACACCGGCCTTGCTGCAAGGGATTGTTTCCTGAATGTATTTCAAAATAATATTGTTATTTGCTGTCCTGCTTGATTACTTTTTAAAGATGTTGGAATTACTGTTGTAATACATTGCCCTGCTTCAGAACAAACTCTGCATACTTTGGACAGCTGATAAAAAGAAAAAGCACCAGGAGTTTAAACATGTTCTTTTATGAGTGTCTGCTTCCGCAAACATCAAGCATGTTCTCACCTGTGATAAATATCTCTGTATTTCACAGGGGAAGTGGGAATCAGATGCTTCTTGGCAAGCAAGATCCTGAACCCTCGGAGGCATCCTTGTTTCTACCACCACATGAATGCGTTTCTCTGGAGCTGGCAGTGGAGGAGCAGGTCTGTGCCAGTGCAGTGCTTGCTGATGTGAGCGTGGTGCTGCGAGTTCTGCTTCCTTCCGCCAAGAGGCTGGTGAAACCAGTGGTAGGATGTGAGCTGCCTGCCTGGCTGCATCGCCTCCCAGCTGGCCCCATCAATCCCCCTCAAGTCTGTGGCCAGGGACAGCTCCCAAAAGCAAGATCCCTGCTCAGGGCTTTCCCACCCGCCTGTTTCTGTTGCCCAGGTGACTGCTTCTCTACATGGCATTTACTGAACCACAGACAAGGCAACCCCTCTGTTTCCTTGCAGCCAGCCAGGCTTTGCCTGCATGGGTTCTGGCCTTTGGAGAGCTTCATGTTTTTCTGTATGGACTCCTTTTCTTGGATCATCTCCTTTTCCCAGAGTGTTTCTGGGGGATTCTGTGAGAGACTCAGTGACTGATCTTCAAATGCTGAGTTAAAGATGGAGCAGCACACACTTAGGCCATGACACCCAGGGGATGCACCCATGCACCATTGCCTATTTTGGACTTCCTTTTCTTGAACTTGGTCCTGCAGAAAGAAGAAAAACAATGACAAGTGAATGGAGAACGTTCTTTGGAATGCAGATAACAATTTCTTCTTAAGAAAAGCCAGAAAGAAACAAAACATAAGCTCTTCAAAAACCATGTTTAAATGCTGTCATCACTCTCCTAAGTCATCTTCCTCTCACAGAGAAACAGGAGATTTTCAGCTATCGAACTGTAAGTGTATTGCTAGTTATGGGCTTTTTTTTTTTAATGGGTTGACTTTTTTTTAGCTTTTAAAATTGTTTTGGAGATGTGTGGGCATCCCAGTCACGCTGCCAAAGGTTTCTGTCTTAGGAGCTGGAGGTCCAAACAGAATTTGCTGTTGGGTGGAACAACTAGGGGAAGACGGTTTCTTGTGTGGGTGGGAAGGTTTCTGCTTAGCTCCCTGGTTGTTCTCCTCATGGCCCCAGGCCCAAGCAGTGCTGCAAGCGCAGGCTCTGCTCCTTGTCAGTCCACAGTAAGGAGAACACTGGAAACCCCCAAACTGGTTATTAGTTGTGTTTACAAGAGTGACAGCTCTGGGCTTTGAGGTTGGGGAATGGGGATGGTATTAATTTTTTTTCTGCAGTCATACTGGGATTATATGTAAGCCAGAAAATAGGCTTTCAAGATAACTTTACCCTGGAGATTAAAATACTGATTGCTTTTTAGGGTTTACTTTCAAAATTGGTATGTGCAGCCACAGTAAAAAATCTGGAGTGGATAATGTGATTCTAGAAGTATACATTGCTTTTAAGAACTAACATAGACAGTGCTTTCAAAGAAAAGCCTTATACTTGAATACTTTGAAAATATCGTGTACTTACTCAAATGAAGGTTGCACTTCTGAATAATGGTCATCTTACCTGTTCTTGGGCTACAGCAGCTGTTTAAAAGATGAGTTGTGGGTGGGAATACTGAAGGGGTTTTTTTCATCCAACCTGGAATTTTTTGAAGTATGGCAGAATAAAGCCAGTAGCTTTCTTAACTTGAAAATTATTTCAAGAGTGTATATATATAATATATATCCAAGGAAGGGTGGTTGTGGCTTAGCACCAGTAACAGGAAAAAGTGAAGTAAGAGAAGCACTGATTCAAACAGAAACTGGGCTATTGAGGGTTGGAGCAAGTGGGGTATATGGGAGTGTGACTTACATATTTGGTTGTCTCCAAGGAAGGGCACTTTGAAAGGGGAGGCTCTGATATGTTGCCTTGGCTTAAAGGGAGTGAAGGCCTGTGAAAAGTCAGGAGAGGTTGGAGAAATCAGTTGTGATAAACCTGCATCTCACAGAGGAAAGGTTCAAGAAACTGCGGCTGATACGAGGTTGTGCTTCTGGCTAGTGTCAGGTTGGAACATCCCCTGGTTACTGACCCTCAGGGAAGTCAGACCCTGTTGCTGGTCGGTCTTCTGCTTAGCTTCATGGCTTTCTAGTTAGGTGTTGTGGTGATAGTGAGTTACAATGTTGTGAAAGGTAAGTTGATGTATCCTATCAAAATCTCAATTTAAGTGGTGTCCTGTTGCTTTAGATTTCTTCATAGTTTAGCTGGAACAAACTTTATTGTTAGTTTGCAGTATCTTGTTTGTTCTCCTCCTCCAGAGCTTATCTTCAAGATTATTTAAGTTTCTATTCACATATCTCTTATTTTGCTCCACTTTATTTCTGCTTCTGGCAATACTGAAGACTGCAGTCAAGGTCTCTTAGAGATATGTAGCACAAATACAAGGGGAAAATATATGATCCCTGCCCCAGTTTGGAATAATGTGAGCCAAAGACTGAAGGCTCCTGGTCACTTCAAAAGAAGTATCTGCGCCTGTTCCCTAGATCATCCAGAAAATGCAGGAAAAAACAGGCTGGAAATAAGTATGGAAAACTAAGAAAGCTCTGAACTACCAGAATGTGAAAAGAAGCGATTTTCAAAGTGATAGGTGATGCCATCCCAGTTTTTTATTTGCAGTTCTCCTCTATTGGGAGTTTTGAGTTATGGGGCTCAGACAAGCTCCAGATGGGAATGGTGGGAATTGGAAACGAGCACCTGTCCAATGATGGTGTCATTCCCAGCACTGGTGTAGGGGGAAGGGACAAACTTGAAGGAAAGAGCTGCAAGTTGATAGTGGTGAGGATGACACAGCCCACCTTGTGCACATGCAAAATGAAACCTCTTATGATATCAGATAACACAAATTTACCATTAATTACTTTACTATATGCTGACAAGTTGTTTCAAAACAACAACATGTTTGAGTTAATTTCTCAGACTAAATGTTGTAGATGGTAAAGACAATAAAGACGCCATGAAGATCTAGGTCTTAAACAAAGAATTCAACCCTGTAGCTTTTATTTCCATTAATACTGGAAGCATAAAAAAAAATTGGACAGAACAGAAACTATTTTACACTGTATAGCACATTCACTCTCTGAGATCTGGGGGGATTTTACATGTTGTATCTGTACAGCAGTATACAGCAACACAGCTACTGGAACATAAACCTGTGGGTCTCCAAATAAAAATTATTTTGGAGAAACGCCTCCCTTTCCACAAACATCTCTGAATTTTAATGACAAGCTCAAAGCAGATGAAGAACTGGAATTCCCAGCATCTATTATTATTTTTTAGCAGAAATTAGCACCCCAAAGTACATTTGAAAAATGTCTGCTGCTAGTGGACGGGCTTTCAGGTTTTCAACTCTCAGCAACATTAGCATTACATTGTTTAACTACTTGGCTCTTTACCTCAGTATGAGGTAAATGAGCAGCCTGCTAAATCTGTCGATGGAACTCAGCAATCTTCTCAGCTTAAAATCAATTGTGAAGTAAATGATAATGTGCTCCCCCCCTCTGTGGGTTACTGCTGTACTACAGACTCCTCACTACCTGTAATTGGTATTGGTGTAGCACTAAGTAGCCTCAGTTGTGGAAAAAATCATACAAAGTCAGAACCAAACAATTATCTCTGCCCTAATGATCCTGCAGTGTCTTGTTCTCCTTTTTTACACTTGATCCTCATGTTACTTTTTCCTGCTCCTGAAGTTTCAGGAAAACTGCTGAGTAGTTGCAGTCACCAGTTATTTACTAGAGTTAGATCTGCACAGCACCTTGCCAATAAGCCCAAGGAGACCTTTCACTCCTTCCAGTGATACTCTCTTTTTTTGGATACCTGCCTTTATATAGACATTTGGAGAAACTGAAACCCCAGCTTCACTAATGTGAATAAAAGCGGTGTCTGTGTTGCTTAGCTAGATGTGTCTTGGATCATGGCTTTTGGTGGACTGTATCCATGAGGTGCTGGAGGCAGACAGCTGGCAAGGCAGCCTCTTGCTGTGTGAAATGTACACTAGTGTATTTGTAAGTGGTTATAAAAACAACTTTTCAAGGTTAGTGTCCAGGTTTACTGCTGCTTAGCACATGAACAAGAGTCCAAAGGCTTTTTTTCAGTTTGGCTACCTTCATTATTATTTATTTATTTTTTTTGTGTGTGTGTGTTTTCCTCTTCCTTAGAAACATGCAGGACATTAAGTCTAATGTTTCATAAATTTGCTGACGGACTTTAAGAGTCTCAGGAAAATACACCAAGGTGATAAGAGGCAGTGAGCTTTTAATGTGCAAAACAATCACCTAAAGCTAATTAGTAGTCTGTAGTTTTAACGGATAATCAAATGCTGGATTCTTATAAGAGACCAAGTGTGTGCCATATTGCTCACTCTGAGGCTTTTTGCATGCCTTACGCAGACACAGAGACAAAACGATAGTGGAAATAAGAAAGAGTCCACTTGCTGCAGACAGAGCAGCAAAGACAGACTTGTAGCTGGGTTTTGTTTTAAATTTGGTGCATGAATTACCTGCAATTCCCTGGTTTACTGCCTGGCTTGACCCTGCTTTGTTAGAAGCAGTCACGCAGATGTGGTACGTGGTGTATGGTGATAGGTTATACAGCGTGTGCTGCCTTGCTGTGGAATAAATATTGTCCAGGACAAGCTTTCTGTCCTCCTTGCCCTGGGCATGAAACATCAGCTCATAGGTTTGAACAACTGAATTTGGGGCGCACCAGCGGATCTGTGCAGAGCTGTCTGTAACTTCAGACACCTCTCTGAGCGTTGGTGGATCTGGAACCTCATCTTCCCTCGACATGCCAGGACATAGACACTGGGATACACTCTGAAGTTCACTGCATGGCTTCTGAAGGTGTCTGCAAGGGTTGTAGTCACAGGCGACATATGCAACTTGCACTGGGGTTTCCATCGGCTGCTCACTGTAGTCATAGTCATCTACGTAGTGTATCAGTGACCTGGTGGACACCAGCTCTGGCCGAGCACTGGTCCTTGTGGAGTTCACCTGTGGTAGGCTTGTAGCTCCCCCTGTGTGAATGGCAAAGGGGTAGATAGAATGGTCAGTGGCATTGGGTTTTGCTGTTGCTCTAGTAGAATAATCTGTAGTGGGCTGGTTGAATGGACCTTCCCGGGGAGACGTCACCTCGGTTGTTCTGAGCTCTCCCTTCAGCTCATATGTTTCAGTTTGACTTGTGGAGCCATAATCTGAGGATTGACTACGGAACTCTTTGAGAAAACTCTGTGGGGTGGTTATGGATGCAAAAGAAGGGGGGTGGCTTGTAGATTTGGAAGCTGCCTCCTCTTCCTGGGAGGAAATGTTGGCCTTTGTGAGCATGAGCTCAGTTGGGTTGGCTGCTGTTGTGCTCATTACCTTCCTCTGAGTTGGGGAGCTGGTGTAAGTGTCTTTGGTTAGCAGAGCAGAGTCTGTTGTTACTGCAGGAGTGGCATTGTAACTGGTGAGGCTGACAGCATCATGTTCAGGAAGGGAGGTGTTTGAATTTGGGTGTGTAACATTTCCCACAGACTGGCATTTATCATGGAGCTCAAGCAGTGAAACAGATGTTGAAGGTTTGTCCCAGTCTTCCTGGTGTGTATTGCAAAAAGTCTCCGAAGCCCTGCAGAGGGGACAAGTTAGAATATACAAAATTCACAAGAACATTACAGGCTTCTCTAAGGCTGCATGGATTTGAGCTGGCAACCTGTTATCCCAAAACAGTCTTTATGTTAATTACATGAAACCAAAGCTAGGTGGTCTTAATGATAGCCCTTTGCTTGGCAAAAGGCTTTATACAGCACCAGGAACTCAGCTGACTCACTTTATGGTATTTTAAGGTGCAGGGATATATTTTGCCTGAGAAGCAGCATCTTTTGCTTAGAAGGACTGTGGACTTCAGCAAGAGTGGTGGAGTTCAAGGCAATTTGTCATAAAGGGCCAGGCTTTAATGCCACTCTAGGAGGAGAACGCCTGCACAGATGCAACAGGGTTCCCAAGATCCTGAAGCCAGCTTGTTTAGGCAGCTGGAGCTGTGCAGACGTGGGATATGCTTTTAAATGGCTACGGAGTTCTTTCTTTACTCAGATATTGCATGTTTTTGTTAAGAATGCAACTGCTAAACTCATACGGAGGAGAAACAATCTATTGTTAACAATCTGCTTCCCTGCTCTCTCCACTACGGGTGACAAATCTTCTTGGTGGCCTTTCAAAAGGAAGAGATCATATATACGCAAAACAGTTCCTTTTAACTACAGCCTACTGTAATTAGTCTGTCAAACTGTAGGAGAGCATGGAAACAATAGGTGACAAACGGTGCTATTTACAAGGGGTTTTGTTGTCTTCCAGAGCTGATCTAGGCTTTGGAAATGCAAGGGCAAAGAGGAAAATATGTGCTAAGTATTTTGCAAAGTCTTCCAGTTCCTGCTCCCAGTGGTGGCCCATCAAGGCCACTAAGCCAGCTTTTTTTATCTCCAGCTAAGAGAGAAATCTGAATAGAGGAAATAAGCTCTTCTCACCAATCTATAGCGAATATATAGTTTTCTACTGTTCCCCGTATGCCCAACCGCATTTGACCACATTCAAGTACAATTCAGCCATGCTTTGTCCCAAAGGGGCTTTATTTTGCATTTCTACCTCTTGTGGAAGGAAAGAGCACACAAAGAATGAGAGTAACTTGGATGAAAGCGAATGTTTGGTCGCTAGATATCGTACACATTAACGTTGTGTACGAGCATTACTTTATCTTCATGAACTCACTTTTGCAGCACAACGCTTTTGGTCCTGGAGAGCAGCCAGGAGAGTTGGCAGTCGCATAGCAGAGGATTTCCGTACAAGTTGATGGTGATGCTACCCGATGAATTGATATTCCAAGGATTAAAGGAGCTCAGGTTACAGCTACAGGATGACAAATTCAGTAATTAGTAAGCGCTAAGGTACCTTCCAAGGGCTGCAGTGTGCTTAAGTGTGATCCACCACGTGTAAAACACAAAGCAATATTCCCAGTTCCCTTGGAGGGAGCCAGTTACCAACACCACTGTTCTGCACACTTCAAGGTCCAGCCCAATACTTGCCCATCTCTCCAGTTTGCCGAGTAGCTGCTGTGAGTTAAAGCGTATGGAAAGTCTCCTTTCCTTAGGAAAGATATCCTAAGGGGATACCACAGCTAGAGGGGAAAGGACCTGGCAAGGATCCTGTGTGAAATATTATCTCCTCCCTGCCATCACGCATTCAGCTACACTTTGCTTTTTTACTACACCATTGCCCTAGCTACTCTCTGTTTGCTGGTAATGGATTCACTTTATGCCAATCACCCTTCTCATGTTAATTGCCCCTCTGTTAACATATGCTTTCTTATCTACTAAAGTCAAATGACTAATACAGGAAGACCTTGTTTGCCTGTATTGTATAGCTGTCCTCCCTGCAGAAAAAAAGAGTGATAACGTGACCTCCCTGCATCCTGAGTACTTAGAAGTTGCTCTCTTTAACTGCTACCCCTTTGTTTTTCAAGTTCAGGTCATGATTTTTAGCACTTTAAGCTGGCATTCCTGCAGACATTGTAAGTGTTGTGTAAATTCTAGTTGGTAGATGGACTCCTGATTCTTTTGCTTAAATGGGTTTATTTTCCTAGAGCACAGTCAATGTTCTAGTATTTGTTTTCTGATGTGCTTGCAATCTGGGCCTATATTATAGACATCTTTTAAGGTGTTCTCCAAATATTATTATTTATGCCAATTGTTCTGTGTGCAATTTGTCTACCCTTTCTTTGATAAATCACCTTCACACTTCTGTTTCCATTAGTATGTCAACAGGTGTGTGACATAACAAGTAAGTCACACTGATATGTTGTTAACTCTAGAATTCGCACTAAACCATTGTTGTTACTAACGCTGAACAAGGGACTCTATTAATCTCTTGCACTGAAGGAGGGACAGGATTTTTTACTGCTTCCAAGGTGCAGATTTTAGGAAACTGTCAGCTTTCATCCTTTGTAGAGCAAGAAATCCACAGTGATTCCCTTCTCTGGTGAGACACTGCCATGGTAATGTTGGAAGCATGGTCTTTTATTGCAAGTGGAGCTTCAGTGGATCTGTGCTAATCTTAAGAATGCTGGATTAGCTCAACCAGTGGACTGGAAGATACAGCAGATGAGTGGGAGAATGATGGATGCTATTTTAAGCAACCAGTAACTGTGCTATGAGTTTTATGCCATCTCTTTGGGCTGTACCAGGTCTGTTGCTGGATCAGGTCTACGTGACAGGCTTTACAGGCTTTATCTGAGTATGAGACACATGTTTCTCTGTGGTACACCCATATCTCCCTCCTGAATATTTGGTAACAAGCAAACTCTGCATAAAAATCATCTCCCAAGCACCGTGGTGCTGTGAGACAAAGGCAACCGTTAGGTGAGGAAGAACAAAAAAGAAAACAACTCACTTCTCAAATGAGAGATGGCTCAGATGAGGCGCACTGTCAAACATCTCTGTCCTGATGAAACCCAGTGAGTGGGAGTCTTGACAGTTCAGCTCTTGGAGATCAGGCATGGAATTGAGGAAGTCAGTATCGAGGCTTCTTAATCGTGGCATCTTTGTCAGGTGAAGTGATCTGAGGCTGGACAAGTCTCTGGTCCACTCTGGTTGAACTGAAGCAGAAAAACGATTTCTGTGTGTTGCCTAAACAAAGCATTCCTGTGGATTTCTGCCTAGAAAAAGTTTTGAATTCACAGAGATATAAAAATCTCTCCGTGGTGTTCAGCAGCTATTCTCTTTGGGAAAGGAATAGAACAAAAATCAATACACCAGTGCATAAAGGCCGATGCAATCACCTATTTGTAATAATTAGCTGCTGGCCTGGTCGTGCTGTCATAGGGCAGAGGAAAAGGGCAAGACAGAAGGGCAATAAAGCTGTTAAGAGATAGGGAATAGCTTTCCTATTAGGCGAGATTAAACGAACAAGGATTTCTCTTCCTAAAGAAGTGATGGATAAGGGGAGATTAGAGAGGTCAACAAAGTCCTGAATGGTGTGAGAAAGGCAAAAACTTATAGCACAGGAAAAAGAGGCAAGAGACATGAAACTGAAAGAATAAGTCTTACATGAAAGTGCCTTTTCCTCCCACGACTGAATTGTGTAACTCTCTACCACAAGTAAGATTAGGCAAATTTATGGAGGAAATTTGCTGGTATATCTGTTAAATTTGAGTAGAGGTGAAACATTTAGCTTGGGGAGTCCATAAGCTGCTGGTGACAGGAAACAGGGCACATACAAGGGAAAAAAACCCTCTGTGCTGCTTCTCTTTCTTCCACTTGCTACAGGACAAGTGCCAGATAAAGGCAGATAAAAGAAAAAAATTATGCTGTAAATTGCTCAGGGCAGGGATTGTCTCCTTGTGTGGAAGCCAAGGGGTTGACACAAAAAGCCTCTCTGTGCCACTTCAATACACTGGGATAAAGCAGAGTGTAATTGTGGGAATAGACAAAAATTTCAGCAGTGTGTCTGGAAGGAGAAATGCATTTCCTCCTCCATGTCGCAAAACTAATCTCAGGGCTGACAGTGGGATGACTGTCACTAAGCAGGCAGTGGAACTGGGATGGAGGTGAGCAACTGCAGTGGGACAAATGGTCCTTCTTTTTGATGGGATCTGGTCTCTGCCCTTCTTTTGGGAGACTGGTCTGCATGACGTTTACCCCAGTAGTATGTGAACAGTTGGAGAGTGCCTTCCACACCTGGACCAGCTATTTGCAGCTTTCAGAATGGGATATACCCCCTCCACCCCAGGCTCAGCCAGGATGGGAGCCATTGTCCCAGCAAGGCTTCTGCTCTCCCCAGTGTGAGCAAATCCCGTGTTTACAGTGAGAAATCCAGAAACTTACGTTTCTCAAGAAAGGTCTCACTCAGATCAAGCATGTTGATGGTGTTTCCAAGTTTGTTTATGGCCTCAGTGGGAGATGTGCTAATGGCAAAAGCAGACTCCCTAATTCCCCTGCCGTCATCCTTCCCAAGCAGTGTTGCAGAGAGGTTCAGGAACTGTAGGTGAGGGTAACAGGAAAAAGCCAGTGGCTGGATTTCTATCAGTGGATTTCCAGCCAGGGACAGCCACCTCAAGTTAGGAAAGGCAGAGCTGTGGCATGATGGCACAAATGTCAGTTTATTAAAGCTTAAGTCCAGGGAGAGGAGACTGCTGAGGGCTTCAGATCCCCATCTGACTGCCTGGAGGTGGTTCTGCCTCAGTGAGAGGATGCGCAGCCGCTTGAGATTTGCTATCTCCGTCCCATTCACCTCTTCTAAGAAGTTGTTGCTGAGGTCCAGGGTCTCCAGGGCCTCTGGAAGGCAGACGGGGAAAGCTGTCAGGCTGCTGTTGGTCAGCTGCAGCCTGATCCAGGTCCTGTTCTTCCAATCCTCACAGGACATGCTGGTGA